GTCAAATTACAAACCAACACATGTGATTGAATTCAAATAGGAGAAACAAAACCCATCTCGCCTTGGTTAGTCTGGGCCGTGCCGTGCCCTGTACAAATTAATCTTCTTGAATTGATGGAGGAAGCAAAAATGATATTGAGAGGATGGTGAGGAGTTTGCAAAAGAACCAGTGCCTTTCTTCCTAATTGCTCATTTGAATTAGTTAAATTAAACTTGATTATTAGTTTAAAGTATTGAAATAATCTAATGTAGAATAAAAATATAGTCAAAATAAAAAGACCCGTAGGAATGGATTGTTTTGACTTTCTGAAAACAATCGTTACTTTTAAAAAATAACAAAGAAAAAACAAATATCAAAAAGAATGTTTTTAAGAACCATAGTTTTAAAAGTTTGTAGTTTGTTAATGAAAATAGGTCGTTCTTTAATTTTTGACAGTCGGTAACAACAAACCTTGTTAACGACAGTTATTGAGGAACCTTGCTAACGATCATGAACAACCTTTTTATGACAAAATAAATAAGATTGTCTTTAATAAAAATTGTAAAAACAACAATAATTTTAAGAAAAGTAGTACAACATGAAAAACATTATTTTATTGCTTTTAAAAACTATAAATAACTTAAACACCATTTTAAAAATGTTTGTTAAAAAAAATGTGATTATTGAAATCACAATTTTTTATCATAATCTTTTGTAAAATTCTTTTGTTCACTAAAAAAAACAATCTTTTTTTTTCAGTTTTTTTAGCAAATATTAAATGGTCATATATGATTTTTTTTAAATTTTCAAATTTTTAATTCTAAAAAAATCGATAGTTTTTTCAATTTTCTCAATATTCCATGTCTTTCGTCCATCGATGCCTATCTCTATTTAAAGTTTCTGAATTTCCTTGGTTTAATATTTTACAGTTTCTAAATAAACGTCAAAACGGCTTAACCGATTGGGCTCAAATTTATTGTGGGATCTCGCGTGACCCTAGGGAAGGTTTATGAATGATAAAAATTTTAAAAATTGGTGTTTAAAAGTTTTTTAGTTTTGTAAAAATTTTAACATCTTGAAAATCCGCAATTTTTTTTATAAATTCTGCAAGATCTTTTTTCTTTGTTTTTCAATGTTACAATGAGAACATGTTGCTAGTGTATCTAAATATGAATATTCCTGATACAATAATAAAAGTTTCTTTATATCCATGGCCGCAACTAAAACTTTATACTTTTCATTTTATAATTATAAAGAAAAATTTTATTTAGATTTTTTTTCTTTCTTTTTTTAATGGTTTTTGAGTTTCATAGCGAAAAACAAATTATTTTTGTTTTCCATTTAAGAATTTGTTTTTCTTCTTTTTTACATTTTTAAAGTCATATTAAAAACAAAATAGTAAAAATAGGGTAAAATTAAAATAATAAGAGACTTTAAGTATTTCTTTTTCAGAAGACATTATTGTTAAGATTAGTTAAAATGTCTTCTTCCATGGTTTATTCTTCTGTCTCTGATTGATAATCATCATTCATGCTTGTCTAAAATAGAGTGGAAAGTGGAAACCAGAAAACAGCGGAGTTATCAATATCATCCTATTCGTTTTTTTAAAAAAATTTACCAAAACATTGTCATTTCAATTAATTACAAATTTTTAGGAGAAAATGGAAATCAAATGACAAAAGTTCTTTTATTTAATTGGTTCTTGATAAAAATTTATTTTTCAAATGACTTTTTCAAAAAGTCACATCTTACTCTTTTAACCCTAAAAAGGCAGAGGAGGGGGGGGGGCTTTGGCACCTCCCATATAGTATTTTTTTCCTAGCACTCTTATTATTGACTCTTTCACTGTGAAATTTTTTGATTTTTAATTAATAGTTATTTAAAGGATTTTTTGTTTAATTTTTTTTTCTTTTAATTTATAGGGTAGGGTACAGAGGGCAGAAAAAAGTCAGGTCTGTGAAAAAATCTAAAATATCCTATAATATTTTGTGACTAAAGCTACAGATCTAAAAAGTATATTTTTAAAAAGCCCTTGAAAAATGCATATAGAAACATTTTGTCAATCCTCCTTAGCATTGAGCAATGCACATGCATTTCAACCCTATACCTATTCTCCAAAGCCTTTTTCTAGGGGGGGAAGGGAGGCGTCCAACGTGCCCCCCCCTCCTCATTTTTATTTTCCCTAGCACTCTAATTTTTTACACTTTCATTAGATTCAGATGTTATAATAGGGTGGGGTAACTATTTAGCTAAACTCTCATACCAACTCTCTTGTTTGAATATCTCGAAACTTGATAAAATAAAATATATTTTTGTTAACATTTTATTCTATGATTATTTGAATATATAAACACACCCGAAAAGCTAGCAAGAGGCATGGGTACTGAAATAGGGTATCGCAACGAGGCTCGCGCACGAATGAAAGGTCCATACGTCTGTTGTCACTGATTAAAACTATTGGTGGAAAATTCCCAGACCGCCAAAGAAATGCTAATCACAATTGTGCGTATACTCGCCTACAACAAATCTTATCCCAAGATAGTTCAAGGACCAGTGTCCTATCCTTTGTGCCCTGTACCGGGTTATGACGTAGCCAAGGTACAGATCAGCTAGAATCACTAGAAATGTATGACTACCTTATCCTATTCCAGTACCCATGGCAAGAGGGGCTTGCAGAATCGAACTCTTGGTCACATGTTGAAGTTCTTCTTTTTATGTTTCAGGGCAAAAATGGTAAAAAAAGAATTCACAAGAATTACATGAATACATGAATTTAAATTGAATGATAAATCGATAAATGATTCTTGTATTGGGACATAATCATCTTGACATTCTGCCAAGCCATTCAGTTAAACCCTAGATATTAAAAACACCGAAAGAATTTTTGAAATGTCGTCTTGACAATTTTTCAATTGGTTTTATACTGATTTAGGTAAATATCAATATTTGCGAAAATAAATAAATAGCCATTTATGTGCGGGAACAGTTTTATAAAGCTTCATATAATCATTTTATTAAATTAAACTAAATAATCTGCAACATTCCATTATCAGAAAGAGAAGAATACAACATTTGTTAAATTCTTTTGCAAAGCAAAATAATAAAGGAGTAAAAAGAAGAAAATTATCTTTATTAGGACGAGGTTGGGAGAAGTAGGACTGAACCAGAGAAATAAACTTTTTATTTCACATCTTCATCTCTTTAGCCAGGTATAATTGCATGGTGAATATAAAACTGGTATGAACATTGTTTATAAAATAGTAATATATTTTTAAATCATCATATTTTGTTTGCTAATTGTCATTTGTCATAAAAATGATGCATTATATAAAAAGTCAACAATAACATAAGACATTTCTTTCATATTTTATATATGTGGAATCCCAAGCTATGCTATTTCCAAACGACTATCAACCAATGTTTACAATGTTGGGATTGGACTTGGTTCAAGAGCAATGTGTACATGAGATAAGGAATAGTTGAGAACAGTCAAAATGGTTTGGAATGATGAGGATTAGGAAGTTGGAATGAGCTAGATAGGGACCGATTGGGAGTTGGTAAGATAGGTTGGAAATTGTAAATGGAAATCAACTGGAGAAGAAATTGGGATTGGTAAAGTTGGGATTGTGATTCAATGATTGTAAGGATGATAGAAAAGTTTGATATTCGGGGTAAGAGTAATAGAGAAGATTGAGCAAGGAATATATGTTTTTTTGGAACCACTGCAATGCATACAATATAAATGCGATATAGAGTCCAGAATTGAGTTTACTGTCACAAAGTTAGTGAGCTTAGACACCCCATATGGAAATATCACAAAGTTTTTGAAAAATGTCCGAAAAATGCGGGAAAAATTATTTTTCCTACGTTTTGTTGTTTGATTCGAAAGCTATGTAATGTAAAATAAGAAGTTGCTTTAAACTTTCAAATAAAAGGAAATTCAAGATTTGTAGCTCAAACAATAAATAAAAACTACAGGGTGTCCCAAAAAACATGGGAATTCAGTGACGAATTGGATATCGTCTTTGTTATGAATTAGAATTGCAATACCTAATTTCAAAAGCCATAATATTATTATGTCTGCTAGAGTTTATTTTATGAAAAGGGTAAAAGACTGTAAAGGTGTGTCTATAATGTCTCTGCAAGATGAACAGTGAAGACAGACAAGTAAATACTTTGTTTGTATACTGTAATTTTCTTGTTTTACTAAGTACAACCGCGTATGCAGTCAAAACATAAACAAACAAAATGTGAACTTAGCAGACGAAACTCTTACAAATTACAGCTTTCTCAGTAGGTATCACTTTACTAAATCAAAGAATTTTCTAAAAAGACGATATCGAATTCGTCACTGAATTCCCATGTTTTTTGGGACACCCTGTATGAGCTATTTTCACCATCCTGTCAAGATGTACCCAAGCCTAAATTAACCGTGAGGGGTTGAAATATGTATAGCCCCACAGAAAAAATTAAAGTTTTTCAATATTCATAGCCTATTTTTTAAGCTTAACTTATAAAATAAAAAAAAGTATTTATGGTTTAGGTTTAGGGAGCTATAGGTTAACAAAATAATAAATAATACAAAAGTAAACATATTTGTCGCTAGAGCTTTTTAACTTATCAACCCAACTTGTTTTCAGTCTTAAATTTTGTTTAATGGCTTTAAACATTTTTTGAACAAACTAAAATCAAATTATTTTCTTCAAGAAACATTTTACATTTTTTATAAAGATATCATATACTATATATTTCTAAATGCAAAGTCAACTTGTCAATAGCGCTTTTATAAGATTTTGAGATTTGTATTGTAATCACATCTTAGTATCCGCTACACTCTCCATAACAAAATTCCTTAGATGTAGTTGGATGCTGGCACAATTGTGCATCATCACATGGAACTCTATGTCCATGACAGGTCCAGAACCCCATATAATAACATTGACACATATATCCAGGAGGTGGTGGTTTTATTATTATACATCCAGATGGGGCAGGGAAAGGGCTAAATTGTCCTTTTTTGTACTGGTATTTGCAGTCGCAGCTTTCAATATCTAAACATTATTAAATTGATGTTTTCATTTTTATTTAATTTTTTTTGACAGGGAGAGCTTGTTTTGAAGTATTATAAAGGGACTGTAAGCATAATTTCAAGTGACCCTCCATGCTATGGGGTAAATGCCCTTAGATTTTTGTTGTGTATAGAGGTTTAAGTGTGTGTAAAGTTACTTATATGCTATAGCAGTCAGCTGAAAATGTCGGTGTGTTTACTATTTTTGTACAGTTTCAAATCTAAACAGCATAGCGCTTATACCATGCAGCGTTTTCAGTATGCTTTCAATGATGGGAATAAGTTCATGTATTTTCATTGTTTACCACTCCCCCTCCCCCCCCTTTTTCATTTCATAATTGTGTCTAGTATATCTGTAATTATATGTAATATTTAAATGGCATGGATAGATTCTTAAAATGCGTTCCTGATAATATGAATGCGTTCCTGTTTCTATGTTCTATCAAGCAATTTCTGTTTGTTCACACATTCGTTCTTTTGATAGTCATGCCAAGATGTTCAAGAACGAATTCAATGTTTTTTTTTTGGAACGATGGGATCGTTCTTTATAATATTGTTTGTTCTTGTGAAAACGCAATCATTCCTCAGGAACGACGCCCAGCCCTACAAGCTATTTTACACTCACATATCTTGGTCACCAACAAACACACAAAGGTTTAAAGGTTATCCTTCTAAATCGCATTCCCGACTTTGCATGAAGGGTAGCCTTAAATTACGCTTACAGTCCCTTTATCAAAAATATGTAGAACAAATAAATATCATATTTTTTACGGGAATATGAAATTAAGCTGCTGGGGTGGACTACCCTATTTATACTTTGGGGTGGAGGTCAACTGGACCCCCCCCCCCTGTAGTTTGTCCGACTTTTATTAAATAATCTTAGCTCTCCCTGCCTAAGTCCTCAGGCACACTGTCTGAATGACTACTTTTTCCTGTAACAAACAAAATCTTTATTTAGACCCACTTTCAGTGGTCAGATTTTGCTAATTTTTAGCTTCTTGGAAAACGTATTGCACAAATTTAGCAAAGAAATGTTCTCAAAATATTTGTATACATCCCGTCAAAAGAAATTTGCACATTTAAGTTCTTAATTACGCATCAAGCTATTTAAAATTTTGCAAATATTTCTGCATATTTGAATTGGCATGGTCAAGAACTTTTCAAAAATGTATATTTTATCATTTTTGGACATTTTTTTTGCAAAATATTTTACTATTAAATTGATTTTTCATTTGAAGATTCTAAAAATAAAGCTGCATAAAACTTTCCACTGATGTACTATTTGTCATATTTGGACATCAAACAGTGTATCCTGATTTTCTATAGTACCCCAGAACGGTTGGGTTAATATAATTAAATACAATTATTTTATTGTAATCACACAAACAGCAAAGTTCTAAATAACAATATTTTCCATGTAATTTGTAAAGAATTTTATCATGGAAATTAAAATGATGAAATTAATAGTTCATTAAAATAGATTAGGATTAAAAAGTGTTCAGCTCAGGATGATATTTTAAAAGCTTAAACCCAACTAAAACCCAAGCTCAGCCTTAGATAGAACCCAAGTCAGGATTGGTTCTGATTCTACCAATGAGAGACTGTTTTGCAAGCTTTCTCTCTGTAGCAGACATAATGCCGTCAGATCAGCTGTGACAAGGAGATGTAAATTTCGATAATTCAAACTTTATGCAGATACATTATTTTCATAGTATGTTTATTTTATATAATTAATAAAATTTGACACCTCAAATAATTCCCGAGATTTTAAATGTACAAATATAAAGGATTTTATAAAATTTATGATCATCAGCTTGCTGAGGACTAGAGCCTTTAAGAGAGAAAAACCCAAGATGATTGGTTCTTACTAAACTCAAGGCCATCCAAAACCCGGGTCTTGACTTGAGCTTTACTTGGGTCTAAGCAGACAAAAAGACCGGGTTTTAGTCGGGTTTAAGCTTTTAAAATCTCATCTCTGATTTTGTAGGATTAAAAAAAAAATTAACTTTGCTCTTGAAATAAAAAGGTTCGGTGAAAAGCATCTTACAATTATAATCATAATTGTTTAATAAACTTTTTACTTGGGTATAGTCCATTACTTAGTCCAAGTATCATAGAGAAGACAATAATGAAAGAGAAGAACATTTGTATCCTCCTTTATTGAACTTTTATGAACAACTGCAAATCTATTGTTATATCTAGCTTGCAATCAAAACATGTTATTGCAATAGTAATTGTTAAATTTTAGTTCAGAAAAATAGGGCTAATCATTTTCAGCCTAATTTTAATTCTAAGGTTTTCATATACCGGATTAAAGATTTAGCTCTATATTTACATTAAAAATAAACTTCTCATTTCAAACTTCTAACTAATACATTTCATATTAAATGGACCATAGACGGAATTTTAAGAGACTTGTCCAATGCCAAATCTTACTTCAAAGTACTTTAAAAATATTCAAATTTTTCTAAATTTTAATAATCCTCTGAATAATAACATGTTATGTTTATTTTTATTATTGCTTAATGCTAACTATACAAAATATAGAATTATTTCCAGATACATAGGCAAAAGAGGTCGTTAAAATCCTAGTAAAGCATATTTAACAGTTTTTGAAAGGTGGTAACTGGGAAAATATTCGAATGACAAAGTCAAGTTTAAGTCTAGTTTATGCCCCCAGATTTAGCCCGGTTGATAAGTGGAATTCAACAGTGGAGTTCAAATCCAGATAAAGTGGAGTTTTGAAGTGGAGATTTAAACACCAAGTTTTCACCCTAACTTAGTAAAAACTGGGAATAAATAAGTCAAGTTCAATCTCACCCAGTTGATGACTGGGTAAATATTGGATTCAAAAACTCAAATTTGTGTAGAGTTTATGCACCCAGATTTCACCCAGTTGATAAGTGGAGTTCAACAGTGTTTGAGTCAAGTTAAGTGGAGTTTTGAAGAAACTCCAAGTTTTCAACCTGACTTGGTAAAAACTGGGATTCAAAAAGTCGAGTTTAAGTAATGTTTTTGCACCCAGATTTTACCCAGTCAAGGGATTCTTCTCCTGTATCTTCTAGAACTGGCCCAATTAGTCTCATACCAGCCTGTCTGAACTACCCACTAGGATATCCAGGACACATAGGAACTAGGACTTCTAGGATATCCAGAATACATAGGAACTAGGACATGCAGAAGCAGCAGAACCAGATGATTTTGAGAACGAGAAACTGCTAATTTGTAGAGAAGCTCTTTACACATCTGTGGTAACAATAGCTACAGGATACAGAGCAGAACTAGTTTATTCAAAATATCAGATGCTGCCTACACCTGAGATTGGAGAAGCTGATTCTAACAGACAGCTCTTCGCATATCTGGAGCAGCTAGAAGATCTAGTCAGACTTAGGTTTCTAGGAGCAGAAGCTAGACCTGCTGTGGAACCAATAGCGGAACCAGACAACAGAGACGCAACTTATTGTGGAACAGCTCTTCACAGATCTATGAAGAAACCATGATGATAGCAAGGAAAATAACAATCAAGATCACAATGATGATAACAAGGATGATAACAATCAAGATAACAACAACAATAACAATAATGATATCAATCCAGATAACAACAACAATGATAACAATAAAAACAATGATGATAACAAAGCAGAAATTCTAGGAGCAGCTCTGGTAATAAAGGAAGCAGCTGGGAATGTAATGGAAGCATCTCATATGGTAAGAGCAGCTAAGTTAACAGGAGCAGCTAAGTTAACGGAGACTCTGGAAGGAGCTCAGATTGCAGTGTAAGAGATATTGAACTATAGCAGCTAAACAAGATATCAAGATGGAGAAGCTGCCTAGATAAATACTGGACTGTAGCTACTGAATATCTGAAGGAAATTATTAAATCCGAGAAAACGTACAGATGTATTTAATGAATAAAATGTGAAACTGATTAATCCCAATCCATTTATAATCTGAGAGATATGGACAGAAAGATTAATAAAGGGATTGTTACTAATATAAGGGTACGAGGATCTAGAGTGAAATATTTGCATAAGCCATACAACCATGGGTGCAATTGATGGATCTCGAAACTCCCTAAGATTAACATCTGGTTTGTTGTAACAAATATTTATAACAATTTTCATAAACTTATCCCGGTAAATGTAATATAGTATATATATCTTTTGTATTTTTTCATGTACTTTCAGTTTAACAAGTTAAAAACTTTTTAAAAGATGATTTTCTTATCCCAGTTTTAAACTAGTCACAGACTTGGAACAAAAACTAAATCCCCATACTGAAGAATTAGAAACAGGTTTATAAATTAGAAAAAGAGAACCTATAGCTTACAGTTGTAAGTTTATTTTCGAACTTTAGCTCACTAATTCTAAGATAAAGTCGGACAACTGTCAGTCCCTTATCTATATATATAAGCCAAGATCTACTAAGAACTAGAATCCAATGAGTCTTTTATCAACTACCTCACAACAGAGTTAACTAGCACTAATACCTCAAGTCTCAGTTCATAGATTTAAATAAATCAGTTCTAACAGTTTTAACTCTCCTTGAATAAAAATCTGATGGAAATAACCAAAATGAGAATAGAATTTAACACAAGGTTCTCTCTAACCTCCGCAGTATAGAATTCAGCTTCTAAGACTGTTTATTAAAGACAGAAACACAGGTTAAATAGGGTTTATCCCTATTACAGTTTACAATACATGTTAAAGAGTATTTATTTCTTATATACTAAAAATACTATGTAGATGTTAAAAGATAGAAAATATCATTGTAAAGAAGAGTACCCCTGAACAGAGTAGGAAGGATAGTTTTAAAACCAGTTGAGCTAGACTTGAATAAACGTTCTCTATAACGTAAGGTTTTTATCAACGTCAAGTATAATAAATAGACTGCTTCTATACATCTGCTGGTTCTTTTTTCTTATGTCTGGATTGCAGTTTGTTGCTTGGATAGCTTGGAGGCTCCGTGGGTTGGATGGTTGGATCCGGGTTTTGAGTTCATGAAAATAAAGTAAATTTAAAAATGTTAAATATATTACATGTTGTTTTTAATATAGAATAGATTTGGTGCAGTTTAAAATCCTTATTTATGTGAAGTATATTTGTTCTTTTATGTTTTATATCTCATGTGCAGTTCTAAGTCAAGATTTAACTGGTTTTGACTCAATTCCTTTGTCTAAAAAAACAAGGTGGGATTGAAGGAGTGGTCATTTTTAAAGGTTAGACGTGAGAACTGAGAAGATTCAAGGCCTTTGTCTATTCAAACTATATATATTTTTCTTTCACCATTTTAATTATTGTGAACAAGGAAGCAATTTAATATTCACAGAATTGTGCGGGATTGTGTGGATCTAAACTGTTTGGCAGGGATTTTTCCATCAAGAAAACAAGTAATTTAGATCTATGACTTAAAAATTTATGCAGCATTTAGAAATACAAAAATAGACAAAAGTTATCTCTACAGAATTAAAACATTAGAAGGTCACTTGAATTTTTTTCAATATTTTAAAGTATTTTGCAGTTAAGATACTAATAAACAATTAAAATTGGTTAAAATTGCAATTCATTTAATCAAAAAACTACTGGGGGGGGGGGGGTGATCCCCATACCCCCAGTAGGTTTTTTTTTAACATAACTCAAAAAGTATTGGTCTGAGGCTGTTCACATTTCTGACTACCTAAATACCCATAGCCCTTCTTTTCGGTCGAAAATTGGGCTTTTTATTATTACTGAGTCCTCAGGCACACTACCTGAATGACTACTATTTCCTGACCCACTTTCACATGAGGAAATAGATTGCAAAATTTTGCAAACTATTTGCACACATGACACAACCCTTCAAAAGAAATTTGCACATTTTAGGTTTTTCTTAATTACACATCAGGTTGTTTAAAATTTTTAAATTTTTTTGGCATATTTATTTATATGGCATGGTCAAGGGCTTTGTATTATTTGAATGAATTTTACAACAAAAGTTTCAATTTTTGCAAATTTGAACATTCTTTTGCAGATTCTAAAAGTAGAGCACAAGAGCTTTCCAATGATTTATCATGTAAACATGGGATTTAGAGTATCCTGAATTTCAAGTACCCCAGCTGGGATAGCATTAATTAATTAGAAAATTATTAAATCACTTATTCAGTTAAAGCAGACCCAGAGTCTAAAAGTCTTCTTAAATCAGAGTTTTCTGTTTATCTTGCTGTATATATAGTTAATTCAGGCAATTAAATTCTCTTGCATTGGAAACCCTATTTTAGACTTTTTAGTTTTGCCTTATAAAATCAAAGGTTTAAATAACACAGAAATTAGAAAATTAAGTGTCTAAAGCTAGTTTTCAGTTTTTATTGTAAAAATGATATAATTGTAATTTAAATTGATTCTAGTTCTAGAATAGATTTGTTCAGCTGCTTTAAAAGGACATCATCAATTCCAGGAGTGTTCTTGCAGTTACTTTTTAAGTTATGTGTATCAACCTGAAACATGATCAAATTTTTTAAAATAAAATCAAAATATAGTAACAGATCCTGTCACTAAATTTTTTTTGTTTTTGATTTTGATATTTTTAAATGACTTGTTTAAATTATTTCATTGTGCAGTTGTTCCAAAGGATACTTCTCATTCCCTTTAATAAGCACACAAGAGTGCAAATATATTTATTAATATTTAAGCTACTTCACTCTTAGTGTTGTGATTTGACCAGCTACATTTTTTTTGTTTTATTTTGTAATATGTGACAATGACAGAGAAAATAAACTATTTAGACCTAATTGTTTTTAATATTAATGTTTTTTTTGCCCAAAAAATTAGCAAACCCTTTTATATAAAGTCAAAATTTCTTTTTGTTCTCCCTGTTTTTAAGTAGTTTTAATTCTCAATCATATTTTCTGAAAACTTAGACTTTTTGTAGTACGTCAAAAATCACCTGTGCAAGATTGAATTCAACTTGTTGATAAAGTTGTGATGAACTCCAATTTCCCAACTCAAATCTTTCAAAGGTTTCAAAGATGCTTTGTAATTTCATCTCTGCACCCTGTTAAATGAGAAATTTTTTAAAGTTTGTTTCTTATTTATATTTTTAAAATTCTAATTTATATTGTACAGTACTGATGAAAAAAACTGATAGAAAGGAAACACTTTAAACTAAGACAAGCCAGGCCTTCAGTAAGCATTTCAGAATTGTTTCTCTTTGGACAGATGCTGTGGTTTTTATTTTAAGACCACTGGGCTGAAAAGAAGAGATATTAGTATGAAACAATATCTGGAAAAGTTTAATAAGAAAATGAATAGGCAATTGAAACACTTGACCAGGGTGTCCAAACAAAAATTGTCTCAACAATTATTTTAGCATGGGACGTAGCGGTGCGGAGGGGGGGGATAGACAAAACTCCTAAGATTTTATATTTATTTGGGATTAGGTTAGGTTAAGACACTTTATGGGCCAAGCGCTGTGGCTAGGACAGGCTAGGGGGCCGAGCGCTGCAGCCACATGTCCTTTATTTAAGACCTCACCAACTGCCAGTTCTGAGAATTTTAAGAAAACGCAGCATTTGAGAAAATCTTAGAAGTTTCGTCTATCCCTCCTCCCCACCGCTACGTCCCATGCCAATTTTTTCACAATTGACAAATGAGGGACAGTCAAGAAGAGGAAACAAATTTAGAAGAATAAAAATGAGGACAAGAAAAATTATAATAAAATATTTCTGTATTTCCTCTACCCACTTTAGTTTATAGAATTTGATTAAAGTAATAAATTGTTAAGAAACTTAAAGGAAATACACACCAAAGCAAACATTTTGCCATTTCCATGAAGAATAGAGACTCCAGATTCCCCAGCTGATGGGCAAAAATTCTTACCCTGAAATTTATATGCTATAAGATTTGTCCACACAATTCTCTCACAGAGCTACATATGGAAATAAAATAATTCTCAGTAATTTTTACCGATAATTCTGAAAATGGGAAAATTAATTTGAAATTATTTTTTAGGATTTCTACATATTTTTGTCATATTTTTCAACCAGTCTCAGGACCCAAACTATTAAAGTTAATGGTTTAATTTATTTATTTGAGCTGGCCTTGAAAAATTGGTCTATGAACATACATTTCAACCCTATACCTATTCTCTTAGGTCTTTTTTCTAGGGGGGGGGCATGGGATGCCCCTTCCCAGGCTTTACATAGATTCAGGCCCCCCAGCCTTTATGGGGTTAATTCTTAAACAGGGTTGCCAGCTGTACTAATGACACAAATATACCAATAAAATTGGTATAAGGTTGTTAAATAATATGCTATAATAAAAATATGTAAAATAACAAAACACTTAGATTTGAATGAGATTAAAGATAAAAAATGAAATCTCTACCTTTAAAGATGGATACCATTTTTAAAGGAACAAAATTTTCATTATTGTTCAGAAAAAAAAATAACAAAATAATTGTTCAGAAAAATGAAAATTCAACAAGTTTTAAAACAAAATTTTCAACAGATTTTGAATAAATATAAAGATTGATATTTTGGAATAAACTTTTTAAAATGTGATAGTGTGAAAAAACTATTGTTTATTTTATTCAATAAACAACTCAATGCATCAACAATTTGGAACAAATTATCTTACTGAAAAAAAAACAATTTAACTGAACAATCATTGAATGAAAAATAATAAATAGGTGAAAAATTAATAATAATTTGACAGGTAAAAAAATCAATTTTGTTCTGAATTAGTGAAAAAAAAGTCTCACACAAATGAACAAATGAAATGAAAAAAAGTTTAAAGTGCCCATCTATATCTACCAGGCTTTTTGAAATATTTGCTAACCTTTTCAGTTAATTTTGTTTAAATGATAAGGTGAGTAATGTCAAGCAGTGTCAGTAGTTTAGTAAAAGCTACTCTTGATTCTTGTGTTTACAATACTAGGGGTTTAATTTCTTCCAAACTAGGATAGGGTTTAAGACGAAGAAATGAGTGAAACCTTCACCTTGCTGCAGAGTGCTTCTCTATAGTTCCAAGTACAGTCTAGATCATACACTTTCTCAGGGTTTTGGTTAAAATATGTGTTAAAAATATCTTGATCTCCCAATCTCATTTTTTTCTAAACAAAAATGAGTATTGAAAATTTTCTGCAACCAAAAAAATCTTATTGATAATATTAAAAAGTTATGAGATCTTTTAAGTAAAAGATCTCATGTTATGTGTTACCCACAATCAAGGATGAGACTTTAGAGACTGTTTTATTTTGTGACTATATTTGAAAGACATTGTTTTACTGTATTACTTCCGTACCATCACTGTAAAATTGTTTCTTTTTTTGCTAAATTATTAAATGTGCCTCTTAAAGACTATATATATTCAAGGCATAAGTTTCAATTAAACTTTAAAACCATCAAATTTCATTATTTTCAGTTTGTCTTTACAGATTTATCCTTTGTACCCTATCTAAAAGTCTATAAAGGTTAGACAATGGGTTAAATAATAAAAGGCTACGTTCCTTTTTCAATGCATTTTTAGGTTAACGACAATTGTTAAACATTTATCTTGTTAATGTTAGATGATTCTAATAGATACATCTTTCAATTGTGACAACATGTTTAAAAGAAAAAATGTCTTTCAATCAAATGGAAGGGTGTTCCTAAAAATGCAAATTATTTTTATATTGGGTTAAGCCAAAAAATTACAAAATTAATCTTTGGCTTCTGTTACAAGCTAAAAAAGGACCCTTAGTAAAATTAAATTAATTTAATTTACATATTTAATTAAAAATTGTTACCTGGTACTTAACATAAAGTGCCAGGATGGTGTCAGTCCAACTTTTTTCAGTGTTCCGCATTCTTAAAAAATAAAATTATCTTTGAATTCAACTTTTAAATTTGTTTTTCAATGTATATCAATATGTTCTTTAGATTAGTGACTCTGCAAAATAGTGTTTCCAGTGTCTAAATTTTTAATTTTTCTGTCTACCTGTCTAAATTTAGTAGTACAACTCCTGTATTTAAACCTCTCTCTCCATATGATGGTACATCCATATATTTTGCATATATGGGTCTGCAAAAAGTTATTCCAGCAATCTAAAAATACTAACTAATCTACTACTTCAACATTTTGTTATTGCTCTATCTGTTTGCAGATTTTAAAATATTTTTTCAAATTCTTTTTTATTATTTAGTGTGAATTTTGTTGGAAATTGCTGGTTTATTCTTCTATTCAGAATGTCAAAGTATTTGATGTGAGTGAATTGTGGTTTTGAGAAGTATTAAACCAAAAATAGTTAAATATTAACCGTATATCTTATAAAATAACCTTTTGAATGGGGGAAGAGATAGGATCTGCTTTTGTTGAAGATGATTAAAATAGTTGTTCTATTGAACTAATCAATTTTATTTGTTCTTAACCCTATCCCCGCTGGGGTACTTGAAAACCAGGATACGCTGGGGGGGGGGTTAATTTGACCCCCCCCCCTCTAAATCCCATGTTTTATGTCCAAATATGACAAATGATACATCATTAGAAAGCTCTTGTGCTCTACTTTTAGAATCTGCAAAAAAATTAGCAAATTTGAGAAAATTGAATTTTTTATCGCAAAATCCAGTTTTATAGTAAAAATGTTTGCAAAAAAAAATTTGTCCAAAAAATGACAAATTATACATTTTTGAAAAGCCCTTGACCATGCCATTTCAAATATGCAAAAATTTTTGCAAAATTTTAAATAACCTGATTTTTAATCAAGAAAAACTAAAAATGTACAAATTTCCTTTGACAGGTTGTTTGCAAAACATTTGCAATTTTTTTTCGCAAACCTTGTGCAATCCGTTTCCTTATGTCATAGGCTTTCCAAAAAGCTAAATTTTATCAAAATCTGACAAGTGAAAGTGGGTCAAAACAAAGATTTAGTTTGCTACAGGCAAAAGCAGTCATTCAGGCAGTGTGCCTGAGGACTCAGGCAGTTAGTATTAAAGCCCGGTTTTAGGCCTAAAGGGAGGGCTTTGGGTATGTAAGAAAAGTCAGAAAATTTCAACAGCCTCAGACCAATACTTTTTGAGTTATGTTTAAAAAACTACAGGGGGGGGGGGTCAAATTGACCCCCCCCCCCAGCGGGAATAGGGTTAATAAATAGTCTTCAATAATTTTAGATAAGTGAAAACATAAAAAAAACTAACTGATGATAAATATAAATTTGTTACCAGTGATTGATTTGGAAATTTGTATCTCAAGCAAAGTTATTAGAATGTTAACCTCATGTTGATGAAACTGGTCAAACTCATACCAAAGTTGTTCAACTGGACGCATAAATATTACATCGTTGTCAACAAATATTGCCTGTAAGATAGATTTAGTTAAGCTTAATTAATTTTTTCCAAATAATAGAAATTTCCTTGGTCAAGTGTGGTAGTATCTGTGGAACAAAGAGCAGTTCTGTAGCACAGTCACGACCACGAGATTTTAAATCCTCCCTTACCTAAACAAACAACAACTGGCACTGATATTTTATTATACTTAGCATAGCATAAGCATGTAAATGCTTCTGTAAATAAAAGTGTAGAGTAGCTAGCTTAGGGTGAATGGATTCACCCTCATTCTTGTATATGAAAACCATCTTGACGGTTGGAGAGATATTGCCTTGAACAGGGGCGTATTCAGGAATTTGTCCAAGGGGGGCTTCAATTTTTTTCTCTTTCCAGGGGGGGGCTCAGCACCTGTTGGGGCCTGAAAACCCCCTGAATTAAATAGATTTCACTGGTCCAGGAGGGCTTTGCCCCCATAGCCCCCCCCCCCCTGAATACGCATCTGGCCTTGAAAACATAAACAAGCCATGCCAAAAGGAGGGTTCTATGATACAGCCTGAAAGGTCAGGTCAATGTTTTCTCAACCATGAGGTCTGGACATCAGAATTGAACCGAATAAAAGGAGGAGGGGGTTAGTCTTGACAATGGATCAGAGGAGAGACGTCGGTTCACAAAATGTGCCAGAAGTTTAGTCTAAATTAGATTCAACTGAATTTCAGTAAGTTTTGAATTAATATCATGTCATTTTATATGCTGTAAACACATTTTTCTCATGCTTTGTCTTCTTATTCATGAAAATTGTGGCATCTGCTTTATTATGTTACAATAGCATTAATTGTTCCATCTAGAAATTTTCTTTTTTTCATTTTAAATTTTTAGTTTAAGCATCAGTAGAAAAAAAACTTTCTTATATTCCCCAATAGTTTTCAGACAAACTATACTTATTATATAAAGTATGACCTTTAAAACCCATTTTATTTCCACTCTTCTATTTAATGTATTTATCTAAAGTTAATATCTCCCTATCTTTCTGTTTGATTCAATGATGATATTTTTTTGGTAGCTTTACTACAGCTATTCTCACATAAAGGGTTTCCATACGCAATAGTTTTAAACTCAATTTCAGGAAAGTTTGAACACATTTTGTTAAAAAATGCCTTTCATATGAATGACAAATATATTTCAAAGATAATTATCAAAAAACTAGTCTATTAAAAAATGTACAGCTATGGCTATACATGCGGTAAGTTTTAGCCCAATAATGCGAAAAATGTGTATTATTCTTAAGATATCCATAACAACAGAAACACTTGAAAATAGCTTTTTAGTCCTAACAATATGATTTATTGTTGTGGCATGCAATAAGATGTATTTTATAGAAAGGAACAATTACACTTATTGCTCCCATTCATTTGTAAGCTCCGATTGGAAACCTCCAGGTACCTATAGCTGACAAACATATACTCTTCCTGCTATTCCACCTTTCCTCCTTTCATCATCATTCACTTGGATCAATCCATTTAAAGCTATTTTTTGATAATCAAAAAGAAAGCACCCTTTTGCTGTGAGAGTTATTGACAGCCACAAAGATTTGAGAGGCAAAGATACGAGGATAGTAGGGGAATCTATTGTATCATGATAAGCCTCAAATTGTCTCTAATCCTCCGTCCTGTAGATACATGGCTCCTGACCAGGGTTCAGATCTCTAGGTTCATCCTCTAATTCAACTAATTCTCCAGGTTCTTTCTCTTGACCATGAGAAGTATGAAGTATGAAAGTGGGTCAAAACAAAGATTTAGTTTGATACAGACTAAAGCAGTCATTCAGGCAGTGTGCCTGAGGACTCAGGCAGTTAGTATTAAAGCCCGGTTTTAGGCCTAAAGGGAGGGCTTTGGATATTTAAGAAAAGTCCAAAAATTTCAACAGCCTCAGACCAATACTTTTTGAGTTATGTAAAAAAAACTACAGGGGGGGTCAAATTGACCCCCCCCCCCAGCAGGAAAAGGGTTAATCCATCCTCATGGTCGGATTCTCATTATCTCTTCTTCTTCTGGAGTCAGAGATCTCTGGTTGATTTACTGGAGGTTCAGGGTCTCCTTGAAGATCCAGAGTTGCTCTATCCAGAGTATAAGTGGGAGATGAATTGACAGAAGAGATACAGTGTTACCGTAAAAACAATGATATCCTCGAGGTTTGAAATAATGGTTTCGTCTCAGGGACTTTATCTAATAACTAGGAATAAAGGAACAACTATCATCTTTTCTTTTCACAAATATTTATTGACAATTATAAGTTATGATTTCTCTATTTTAGACTTGGCATGGGGGTGTAGGCATTAGCAGCTTAGCTCAGCGAGGGCAGCATTCCGTGACTGACTTTTTCAGGCTGAATCTAGGCCAAGTTCAAAACCACTGCCTGAGTCAAGCCTTTTATCCAATAGGCTTCTGCCAGTGCAATCCCACCGTATGAATCAGGGGTGAATTTTAGATCCATCTCTAACCAATTCTAAAATAAGAGAAAAAAACAGTATCTTTTTAGTAATGTCTACATACAATCAAACCATTCCAATTCATTTATAAATTCTTTATTATTTCTCTTCAACCTTTCTGAAAATGTACTTTCTCCTTCTAAGTTGATTTTCCAGAATAGAAAAAAGAGTTGTAAAAATGGATTAATATTCCTAGTTTAAAGATTTTGATGTTTCTTTGTGAAAATAAAATATCCCTGTACAACCTAGAAAAAGAGAAAATGTTAATAAATCCATACTGTATCACCCTTTGTCTTTCTTATTCAGATAACTTCCGGGACTGATTTCTAGACATTGACAGGTCAAGGATAGAGGGATGTCAAAAGGATGGATAACAGACTGAATTGAAGCTTTAAAAGATATTTTTTGACTCAAAAACCTTGTTTCAAGTATTTTCGTTGAAGACAACATTTAAAACTGTCTTGGCATTGATAGACGCTCAATTACCTAAGTCAAAACTTAAAAATGGTCAACTTTCAGTCTCTATACTTAACACCATTCCGACAAAACAGATGATGGGAATTTTCAAACCATAGAACAAAGGACATGTTATTTTACAGAGTAATTGCCCAGGATAAAGTTGACAGCTTCCAGATCATGATTGAGGAGGAGGCTGGTAGTCTCCTCAAATTTCAACCTGGCATAATCTGCAAACAATGTGTTGTGTTTAAGTCCTAGACCTCAGGGCATAATGGAAGGATGAATCCAATATGCAGTCAGGGATGACTTATAATCCTGCATGGTTGTATACAGTATATATTATGTTGCTGACTCTTGGCTCTAGTCTGTCTTCACACAAGGGAATGGTCTGGCACACAACACTACGAGAACAAGACCCTTTTGGTTTCTCAATTTTGTAACTTTGCCTTTCTTCATGGTTTCCTATAGGGGTTAATCTTATTTTTTCATATCCAGTTTGGTTTCTTTCAGGTACCAATTGAACATGCTGTTTCTGAATTCATCTAAAACATTTTTCCCTTGCAAGTAGGGATAGGAAAGAGTTAGATTCGTTTAATAGAAGCATTTAATGTTTTTAGACTTAAAAAAGGGTTTAAACATAAGATCAAACTATTTGAAATGAAGATGGGGGAAGGCAAGCCCCCACTTAGGGTCAAAATGGCAATATAATGATTTGAAGATAGATAGATAGAAATTCGGCCCGGTACAACGAAATATTCATGCACCGGCCCGACTAATGGTACGTATCTTAAAAAATTTCCAAACCAAATATTTTTATATAAACAAACTCCATGTGTGATGGTGATAAAACTTAATTTTAAGTATTTTTATAATATTATAGTCTATTTTCGACTATAATATCATACAGTTGATATAGCCAATTGTTTAAGTGATAGTTTGCGTATAATCAATTTAATTTAACATTATGACGCATATTTATGGAGATTAAATCGGCCTCTCATGAGAACTCTTTTGCCCCCCCCCCCCCCCCCGCGTCGTTACCCCTCTCTTTTCAAATTACCAAGGCTTTAAGTATATATTCTTTCGCTTATTCATAAGTAAATTGCTAGGTAATGATCGTTTTTTGCTGGCTCCTGTAAATATTTCATAATATGCGGAATTGACAGGGTGCAGTGTCATATCAACTGAACTAATGATCGATCGGACTATATCATTTGTTTCAGCTAATATTTATTTGGATAAACGTTCTAAAGAACTATAATCAAATGAACTAATTGTTAAATTTGTATCTTAAATAATCTTTTATTTTTGGGTATGCAGGGGCGGATACCGGATTTAAGTGAGGGGGTGCTAGATTTATTAGGGAACAAAAATCCAGATTATAGAACTAAAAGATGGGTTGTTCAGGCGAAAT